AGTCATCTTCTACGATTCTGCGTTTTTAGTTTTCTCGTATCGTCGAAATTGTGGATGCCACAGATTTTCGCCCTTTGTGGGGGCGGAAGTGGGCGGGGCAAAGTTTTGAAATATTTTTGGAGCAGTGACATATCACAGAAGTCTGGATCCAAAACATCGTTGCTCTAGCTCTTATAGTCTTTGAGCATTAGGCGCTGAAGGGGACGGACAGACGGACAGACGGACGGACGGACAGACAGACAGGGCTCAATCGACTCGGCTATTGATGCTGATCAAGAATATATATACTTTATAGGGTCGGAAACGATTCCTTCTGGACGTTACACACATCCACTTTTACCACAAATCTAATATACCCCAATACTCATTTTGAGTATCGGGTATAATAAACTGCCTAATAGACTTAAAACCTGCAGAGGATTGGTTAATAATACGACCAAATAATATAAAAATTAAAATTTATGTTCCAATAACATACAGTTCTGGTAACAATACAATTCTTCTACCAGCAAGATCACAAGTTGTCAGAAAAATAGAATTAACGTCCGATATAGAAACCATATTGATCCCAAACCAGGAAATTCAACCTGGTATTTATGTAGCAAATACAATAACTTCAAAAAATAATACATTTGTCCGATTGCTGAATACAACCAGTACCAACCAATTAGTACATATAAATAGCATACAATATGAACCACTTTCGAATTACAAGGTAATTCAAACAACTCAAAAAATCCGAGAAAAAACTGTCATAGCTGAATTAAGCAAGCATTTCCCAGTACAATTCAAGAAGCAATTAACTAAACTATGCACCAATTTTAGTGACGTATTCGGGCTTGAAACCGAATCAATCACAACAAATAATTTTTATAAACAGAAATTGAGATTGAGGGATGACGAACCTATATATATAAAGAACTATCGAAGTCCGCATAGCCAAGTTGAGGAAATTAAAAAACAAGTAGGAAAATTAATCAACGACAATATTGTCGAACCATCCGTATCAGAATACAACAGCCCACTTCTACTTGTCCCAAAGAAAGCCCTTCCGGGTTCAGAACAAAAGAAATGGCGATTAGTAGTTGACTATCGTCAAATAAACATAAAACTCCTGGCCGACACCTTCCACTTCCGACTCCTTCCACTACCTAGAATTGATGACATTTTGGATCAACTAGGTAGAGCAAAGTATTTCTCATGCCTTGACTTAATGTCAGGTTTTCATCAAATCGAACTAGAAGAAAGTTCGCGAAATATAACGTCTTTTTCAACGAGCAATGGCTCATATCGCTTCACGCGACTACCATTTGGTTTAAAAATAGCGCCGAATTCATTTCAAAGAATGATGACTATAGCATTCTCTGGACTTGAAGCTTCGCAAGCCTTCCTGTATATGGACGATCTAATAGTCATGGGTTGTTCCGAAAAACATATGCTTAAAAACTTAACAGATATTTTTGAGATATGAAGGAAACACAACCTAAAATTACATCCACAAAAATGTTCATTTTTTATGCATGAAGTGACCTTTCTTGGTCATAAATGCACAGATAAAGGAATCTTGCCAGATGACAAGAAATATGACGTCATCAAAAACTATCCAGTCCCACATGATGCGGACAGCGCTAGACGATTTATTGCATTTTGCAATTATTATAGACGTTTTATTAAAAACTTCGCCGACTATTCCCGGCACATAACTAGATTATGTAAAAAGAATGTCCCCTTTGAGTGGTCAACTGAATGTCAAAATCCATTCCAATATTTAAAAGATAAACTTATGGAACCCACTCTGTTACAGTACCCAGATTTTCAGAAAGAATTTTGCATAATCACCGATGCTAGTAAACAAGCATGTGGAGCGGTTTTAACTCAAAACCATAACGGACTCCAACTCCCATTAGCATATGCATCACGTTCATTCACAAAAGGTGAAAGTAACAAAAGTACTACAGAACAGGAATTAGCAGCAATTCATTGGGCAATTACCCATTTTCGACCATATATCTATGGTAAACACTTTACAGTAAAAACGGATCACAGACCACTAACATACCTATTTTCAATGGTCAATCCTAGCTCAAAACTCACACGCATGCGGCTCGAATTAGAAGAATACGACTTTACAGTCGAGTATCTAAAGGGTAAAGATAATCATGTAGCAGATGCGTTATCAAGAATAACCATCACAGACCTAAAAAACATACAAAATACGAATAAAGTCCTGAAAGTCACTACCAGGCAACAGAGTAGACAGAAATCCTGCGCAGGAAAAGAACAAATAGAATTGCCTAGGCAATCTCTAACAAAAGCTTCAAAGCCCAACGTATATGAAGTCATCAACAATGACGAAGTACGTAAAGTAGTGACCTTGCATGTAAATAATAATTTATGTTTTTTCAAACATGGAAAAAAAATTACTGCAAGATATGATGTTAGCGATTTGTATACTAATGGAACCCTTGACTTAGGTCAGTTTTTCCAAAGGCTTGAAACGCAGGCCGGTAAACAAAAAATCAGCCAACTCAAAGTGGCACCGTGGGAAAATATCTTTGAATACATTTCAATAGATAATTTTAAAAATATGGGCAATAAAATATTACGAACAATAAGAGTAGCGCTACTCAACCCGGTGACCCTAATTAAAAATGAAAAAGAAAAAGAAGCAATACTGTCTACATTACATGATGATCCCATACAAGGAGGACATACAGGCATAACAAAAACCTTGGCCAAGGTCAAAAGATATTATTTTTGGAAAGGTATGACTAAAGAAATAACCAATTACATACGAAAATGTCCAAAATGCCAAAAAGCTAAAGTAACCAAGCACACAATAACTCCATTGACTATTACAGAAACACCATACATGGCTTTTGATAGGGTAATAGTGGATACGATCGGTCCACTTCCTAAATCAGAACAAGGAAATGAATATGCAGTCACCTTAATATGTGACCTGACAAAATACCTTGTCGCCATACCCATTAGAAACAAAAGTGCAAATACAGTAGCTAAAGCTATTTTTGAAAATTTTATTCTAAAGTACGGTCCAATGAAGACGTTCATTACGGACATGGGAACAGAATATTAAAATTCAATAATTGAAGACTTATGTAAAAATCTAAACATCAAAAACATAACTTCTACTGCACATCATCACCAGACTGTAGGAACCGTGGAGCGAAGCCACAGAACATTTAACGAATTCATACGCTCATACATCTCAGCTGACAAATCAGATTGGGATGTATGGCTGCAATACTTCGTATATTGTTTTAATACAACCCCCTCTATGGCACATGATTATTGTCCATATGAGCTAGTTTTCGGTAAGACTTCAAACTTACCAGTTCAATTTAATACTATAGATAGAATAGCACCTCTATATAACATAGATGATTACTCTAAAGAGAGTAAATATAGATTAGAAATAGCATATAAACGAGCAAGGATTATGCTCGAGGAGCATAAAATTAAAAATAAACAGCTATATGACTTAAAGTTAAAAGATTTAAATTTAGCTGTAGGAGATACAGTTTTATTGAAAAATGAAACAGGACATAAGCTAGATTTTAAATATATAGGACCATATAGAGTAGAAAGTATCGGAGAAAGAGATAACGTCATAATCTCCGATAATAAAAACAAAACTCAGAAAGTACATAAGGATAGGTTAAAGATTTGCAATTATTAATCATTTTTAGTATGGCCATACATAAATATAAACCATAAAAATATACTACTCTGCATTTATATTCAAATAACTTTTAAATTTTATCAATATTAATTAAAGTTCAATATTCTAATAATTGACTAAAAAGAAAAAAAAAATATATATATATATAAATTGTCTTTTTAAGAATACATAACTCGTATACATATATAGTAAAAGCTAAAAATAAAATAACTTCATTATATTACGTTATTTTTCAAAAGGAGGGAGATGTAGTATGCTCATATTAAAGTAAAGTAAAGTATTCATTATTACGAATACCCACTGTACCTACGGTACTTAAAGAATACACACTGTAACACTTTGTTTCAGTGTTTACGTAACAATAAAGTCCCAGACATTCTGGGTGATCGTATTACGATTCACTCAAGAATGCCTCGAGCGACCCAAGTGCAGCGTCAGCATGTTCCCATGACTTGACGGCACTAATATACATGCATACACACATATATCTTCCCTCGCGCTCTCGCTGCCAACAGCGCTGAGCATATTCACACATATACATACTAACATATAAGAGATAAGAACACATAGTTCTGCCGCTCCGCTGCCGGCGTCACTGGCAGCGCAGCTCCGCGGCTTTTGGCTTACAAAAGCCCAAAACACAATTGTAAAATTGAGAACATAAACGACAATAAAAGAGATCGGAGGGTTGAGCCCCAACGATCCAGAAAAACGGATTGAACATCGTTTTACAGTAGTATACTCTTGTGAAGAGCAGCTCACACCCACACATACACACAAACACATACATACATTCATACATACATACATGAAATCATTAAGCGAAAAACATATATTTTAATTATAGACTGATTTATTAGTAATTGAAATTAATCTACAAATATGTATGTATTTCAATAAATTCTATCGGTTTAAGCATTGAATAAACGCAGGAATAACAATAAAAAAAAATAATAGTTAATACCAGCATAATACATATGTATATTTGCTTCTTCTACTTTAATTGTTCATATAATAATCAAGGGGCATAGCAAGGGATATGCATACGAGAAATATTGAATACTTTGCAGTACAACTATTTATTATAAACCTATGAATGGACGCACTCTTCGCACTCCTTCCACTGGTGTGTGCTCCCACAGCAATAAGTTCAGTTGCGAGGTTTAGAATTCATCGATGTGCGAATATTTATACAGATTATTTACTTGGCTTTAATTGCAGTTAACTTTAACTTTTCAACTTTAAAGGCTAGTAATCAATAATTTTAGTAATTACGTTAACTAGAAAAAAAAAGTAAAACTAAATGGAAATGGAAATGCATGTTCAAGAATTACAGGACGAGCTCTAGATATTTGTCTTCTTGTTGCTGTGCCCCTCGATGCCGAGGTTGCAACGCGAGGCCACATCCTGGACGGTGATGGAGGTGACCGTGCTGGGCAGGGCGCTGGCAACGCCCAGAGCCGACATCGTGCCATTGCTGGGACGCTTTCGCGTTGGCGAATGCACGGGCGACTTCTGCTTGAGACACTCGATATCGTTGAACACCACCTGGGCGCCGCCGCCACATGTGGGTATAACATTGCCCTTGTACAGTTTCGTCTCCACATCCCCGTCCGTGTCGGCCTCCTGGGAGACGAGACAGTATTTGTTGGCGCCGTGTTCGGTCAGCGTCTTCATGTCCGTCAGCTTGGTAACCGACTTGCGATTCTTCAGAAAGGGCTGCATAATAGTGCCGAGTGGCACGGGATTGGCTGCACGATGCTCCAGCCATTTGTCGCCAGCTGAACGCGACCGTCGATGGCGATTGTTGGCAGCTGCCACGCCCTGGTTGTGAGGGGTGGGAATGCGAATAGATACTAGATTAAAGTTCACAGAGCGGAAGGATAAGTACTGGCTTACATGTCGGGGCGTGACATAGATGTCTGTTCGCGTGGCCGTTTAGTGACGTATTCGGGCTTGAAACCGAATCAATCACAACAAATAATTTTTATAAACAGAAATTGAGATTGAGGGATGACGAACCTATATATATAAAGAACTATCGAAGTCCGCATAGCCAAGTTGAGGAAATTAAAAAACAAGTAGGAAAATTAATCAACGACAATATTGTCGAACCATCCGTATCAGAATACAACAGCCCACTTCTACTTGTCCCAAAGAAAGCCCTTCCGGGTTCAGAACAAAAGAAATGGCGATTAGTAGTTGACTATCGTCAAATAAACAAAAAACTCCTGGCCGACACCTTCCACTTCCGACTCCTTCCACTACCTAGAATTGATGACATTTTGGATCAACTAGGTAGAGCAAAGTATTTCTCATGCCTTGACTTAATGTCAGGTTTTCATCAAATCGAACTAGAAGAAAGTTCGCGAAATATAACGTCTTTTTCAACGAGCAATGGCTCATATCGCTTCACGCGACTACCATTTGGTTTAAAAATAGCGCCGAATTCATTTCAAAGAATGATGACTATAGCATTCTCTGGACTTGAAGCTTCGCAAGCCTTCCTGTATATGGACGATCTAATAGTCATGGGTTGTTCCGAAAAACATATGCTTAAAAACTTAACAGATATTTTTGAGATATGAAGGAAACACAACCTAAAATTACATCCACAAAAATGTTCATTTTTTATGCATGAAGTGACCTTTCTTGGTCATAAATGCACAGATAAAGGAATCTTGCCAGATGACAAGAAATATGACGTCATCAAAAACTATCCAGTCCCACATGATGCGGACAGCGCTAGACGATTTATTGCATTTTGCAATTATTATAGACGTTTTATTAAAAACTTCGCCGACTATTCCCGGCACATAACTAGATTATGTAAAAAGAATGTCCCCTTTGAGTGGTCAACTGAATGTCAAAATCCATTCCAATATTTAAAAGATAAACTTATGGAACCCACTCTGTTACAGTACCCAGATTTTCAGAAAGAATTTTGCATAATCACCGATGCTAGTAAACAAGCATGTGGAGCGGTTTTAACTCAAAACCATAACGGACTCCAACTCCCATTAGCATATGCATCACGTTCATTCACAAAAGGTGAAAGTAACAAAAGTACTACAGAACAGGAATTAGCAGCAATTCATTGGGCAATTACCCATTTTCGACCATATATCTATGGTAAACACTTTACAGTAAAAACGGATCACAGACCACTAACATACCTATTTTCAATGGTCAATCCTAGCTCAAAACTCACACGCATGCGGCTCGAATTAGAAGAATACGACTTTACAGTCGAGTATCTAAAGGGTAAAGATAATCATGTAGCAGATGCGTTATCAAGAATAACCATCACAGACCTAAAAAACATACAAAATACGAATAAAGTCCTGAAAGTCACTACCAGGCAACAGAGTAGACAGAAATCCTGCGCAGGAAAAGAACAAATAGAATTGCCTAGGCAATCTCTAACAAAAGCTTCAAAGCCCAACGTATATGAAGTCATCAACAATGACGAAGTACGTAAAGTAGTGACCTTGCATGTAAATAATAATTTATGTTTTTTCAAACATGGAAAAAAAATTACTGCAAGATATGATGTTAGCGATTTGTATACTAATGGAACCCTTGACTTAGGTCAGTTTTTCCAAAGGCTTGAAACGCAGGCCGGTAAACAAAAAATCAGCCAACTCAAAGTGGCACCGTGGGAAAATATCTTTGAATACATTTCAATAGATAATTTTAAAAATATGGGCAATAAAATATTACGAACAATAAGAGTAGCGCTACTCAACCCGGTGACCCTAATTAAAAATGAAAAAGAAAAAGAAGCAATACTGTCTACATTACATGATGATCCCATACAAGGAGGACATACAGGCATAACAAAAACCTTGGCCAAGGTCAAAAGATATTATTTTTGGAAAGGTATGACTAAAGAAATAACCAATTACATACGAAAATGTCCAAAATGCCAAAAAGCTAAAGTAACCAAGCACACAATAACTCCATTGACTATTACAGAAACACCATACATGGCTTTTGATAGGGTAATAGTGGATACGATCGGTCCACTTCCTAAATCAGAACAAGGAAATGAATATGCAGTCACCTTAATATGTGACCTGACAAAATACCTTGTCGCCATACCCATTAGAAACAAAAGTGCAAATACAGTAGCTAAAGCTATTTTTGAAAATTTTATTCTAAAGTACGGTCCAATGAAGACGTTCATTACGGACATGGGAACAGAATATTAAAATTCAATAATTGAAGACTTATGTAAAAATCTAAACATCAAAAACATAACTTCTACTGCACATCATCACCAGACTGTAGGAACCGTGGAGCGAAGCCACAGAACATTTAACGAATTCATACGCTCATACATCTCAGCTGACAAATCAGATTGGGATGTATGGCTGCAATACTTCGTATATTGTTTTAATACAACCCCCTCTATGGCACATGATTATTGTCCATATGAGCTAGTTTTCGGTAAGACTTCAAACTTACCAGTTCAATTTAATACTATAGATAGAATAGCACCTCTATATAACATAGATGATTACTCTAAAGAGAGTAAATATAGATTAGAAATAGCATATAAACGAGCAAGGATTATGCTCGAGGAGCATAAAATTAAAAATAAACAGCTATATGACTTAAAGTTAAAAGATTTAAATTTAGCTGTAGGAGATACAGTTTTATTGAAAAATGAAACAGGACATAAGCTAGATTTTAAATATATAGGACCATATAGAGTAGAAAGTATCGGAGAAAGAGATAACGTCATAATCTCCGATAATAAAAACAAAACTCAGAAAGTACATAAGGATAGGTTAAAGATTTGCAATTATTAATCATTTTTAGTATGGCCATACATAAATATAAACCATAAAAATATACTACTCTGCATTTATATTCAAATAACTTTTAAATTTTATCAATATTAATTAAAGTTCAATATTCTAATAATTGACTAAAAAGAAAAAAAAAATATATATATATAAATTGTCTTTTAAGAATACATAACTCGTATACATATATAGTAAAAGCTAAAAATAAAATAACTTCATTATATTACGTTATTTTTCAAAAGGAGGGAGATGTAGTATGCTCATATTAAAGTAAAGTAAAGTATTCATTATTACGAATACCCACTGTACCTACGGTACTTAAAGAATACACACTGTAACACTTTGTTTCAGTGTTTACGTAACAATAAAGTCCCAGACATTCTGGGTGATCGTATTACGATTCACTCAAGAATGCCTCGAGCGACCCAAGTGCAGCGTCAGCATGTTCCCATGACTTGACGGCACTAATATACATGCATACACACATATATCTTCCCTCGCGCTCTCGCTGCCAACAGCGCTGAGCATATTCACACATATACATACTAACATATAAGAGATAAGAACACATAGTTCTGCCGCTCCGCTGCCGGCGTCACTGGCAGCGCAGCTCCGCGGCTTTTGGCTTACAAAAGCCCAAAACACAATTGTAAAATTGAGAACATAAACGACAATAAAAGAGATCGGAGGGTTGAGCCCCAACGATCCAGAAAAACGGATTGAACATCGTTTTACAGTAGTATACTCTTGTGAAGAGCAGCTCACACCCACACATACACACAAACACATACATACATTCATACATACATACATGAAATCATTAAGCGAAAAACATATATTTTAATTATAGACTGATTTATTAGTAATTGAAATTAATCTACAAATATGTATGTATTTCAATAAATTCTATCGGTTTAAGCATTGAATAAACGCAGGAATAACAATAAAAAAAAATAATAGTTAATACCAGCATAATACATATGTATATTTGCTTCTTCTACTTTAATTGTTCATATAATAATCAAGGGGTATAGCAAGGGATATGCATACGAGAAATATTGAATACTTTGCAGTACAACTATTTATTATAAACCTATGAATGGACGCACTCTTCGCACTCCTTCCACTGGTGTGTGCTCCCACAGCAATAAGTTCAGTTGCGAGGTTTAGAATTCATCGATGTGCGAATATTTATACAGATTATTTACTTGGCTTTAATTGCAGTTAACTTTAACTTTTCAACTTTAAAGGCTAGTAATCAATAATTTTAGTAATTACGTTAACTAGAAAAAAAAAGTAAAACTAAATGGAAATGGAAATGCATGTTCAAGAATTACAGGACGAGCTCTAGATATTTGTCTTCTTGTTGCTGTGCCCCTCGATGCCGAGGTTGCAACGCGAGGCCACATCCTGGACGGTGATGGAGGTGACCGTGCTGGGCAGGGCGCTGGCAACGCCCAGAGCCGACATCGTGCCATTGCTGGGACGCTTTCGCGTTGGCGAATGCACGGGCGACTTCTGCTTGAGACACTCGATATCGTTGAACACCACCTGGGCGCCGCCGCCACATGTGGGTATAACATTGCCCTTGTACAGTTTCGTCTCCACATCCCCGTCCGTGTCGGCCTCCTGGGAGACGAGACAGTATTTGTTGGCGCCGTGTTCGGTCAGCGTCTTCATGTCCGTCAGCTTGGTAACCGACTTGCGATTCTTCAGAAAGGGCTGCATAATAGTGCCGAGTGGCACGGGATTGGCTGCACGATGCTCCAGCCATTTGTCGCCAGCTGAACGCGACCGTCGATGGCGATTGTTGGCAGCTGCCACGCCCTGGTTGTGAGGGGTGGGAATGCGAATAGATACTAGATTAAAGTTCACAGAGCGGAAGGATAAGTACTGGCTTACATGTCGGGGCGTGACATAGATGTCTGTTCGCGTGGCCGGCACAGATGACTCCGTTCGCGCTGTGAATGGGCCGCGATCCTTCTCGTTGAGTAAATCTTCCGAGCTCTGCGAGCGCGGCATGCTCGGCAGATCCTCGGATCGTATGATATTCGAAACCAGGCGAAGTTTCTCGTCCTTGATGCGCATCCGTTCATGCAGTTTC